GATTTTTTTCCCCCAGACCTTTTCTAAGAAGTATAAGATCTAGAAGTCAGTGGTGGAGGTTGGGGCAGGGTGTGAAATCATTCACATTATCCCTAGCAACATTTTGCTAGGGTTTTGCAAAAACAAAACAAAACAACAAAACACATGCAAAAACACTGATTTTTTCCTTCCCTCCCTACCCCATTTACCTCTCCTGAAACTTGGCTTTGAAGGCTACAGGTCAACACCATAAGGAAACTTCTGCTCCTTCTCTTCTGATTCCCCTATTTTCTGCCCAACTTCTACTCAGGGCAAAAAACATTAGAGCAGATTCTAAGAGTCCTGAACATATGCTGGCAGTCATACTTTTAATTCAGTGTTAAAGAGGTACTAAAGAATCATAATCCCTAATGTTGCTTTCTTTTCTTCAAAAAAAAAAAATCAAACAACCAAATGCCAACACAAGTCAGAATATATAGGAACTTTATATTAGAAAGACAGTTATTCTTGTCCCAGCCTTATCTCTTACTATGTGCAACAGGGCAGTTTGGGATAATATATATGTATCTATATAGTATATCATAACATAACATAATATTATATTATGTTATATTAATTATATTGTATTATATATGGTGAGAAAGAAAATTGAATTTGTCATCAAAAAGCCTGGGTTGAAATCCCAATTTGGGTGCTTACTAGGTATGTGACCTTAGTTAAGTCATTTAAGCTCTCTGGGCCTCAGTTTTCTTATCTGACATTCTCTAAGGTACCTTCAAGCTTTATAATCCTCTTTTTTCTCTCCAGACAATCCACTCCAGCTATATTGGTTTATTCGCTGCCCCCCAGAGAATATCTGGAGGCAGCCTGGAGGAAGAGGAACATTGCAGGAACTTAAGGAAATCATTCCTAACACCCAAGTAGTGGTCAAGAACAAGGCTTTACTACAATAGTCGTTTTTCAGTTGTATCTGACTCTTGATAACCTTATTTGGGGTTTTCTTGGCAAAGATTTCCTTCTCCAGCTCATTTTACAGATGAACTGAGGCAAACAGGGTTGTAAGTGACTTTCCCAGGGTCACACAGCTAATAAGTGTCTAAGTCCAGATTTGAACTCAGGTTTTCCTGATTCCAGGCCCAGTGTTCTATCTACTGAGCCAACTAGGTGCCTCCACTACTAGTAGTAATAGTACAATATTTACTATAATATTTCAAGAGAGAGAGAGAACTGAGGCTGAAATTTAGACTTGAGACTTCTTTCCCTAGACAATAAGTTTCAGAGAGTGTGTGTGTGTATCTACATACATGTAGGTGTATGTATATCTATGTATATGTACATACACATATTATACACACACACACACACTCAATTGTGAAAACAGAATTTATGGCCTGAACAGCAGAAATAATTGGCAGAATACAAAAACATCCATGGTGGCAAGCCTCACCAAAGAAACGAAAGATAGAATCAATGGTTGGGAATGCAAATACAGGGAAGTGAAGGACAATTAAAGAAGAGATAGAAAAAAACAATAACATTAAACTAAAGTATGATCTTCCTACAAGGAAAACATATTGATCTCAAAGACAGGATGAGAAGAGAACTTAAATATGGTAGGTCTCTCAGAAGAACACTACAAGGCAAAAAACCAGAACACTATAATGCAGGGAAGAATAGAAGAAAACCCACAGAACTTCTGAACACAGAACACCAAGTGCCAGTTGAAAGAATCTACAGATTGCCTCCAAACAAACAAAAACAAATGCTATGCTGCAAACTCCAGGGCATGTGGTAATTAAATTTAACAATAACACTGAAAAATAATACATTATACAAGTGATGAAGAGAAAGACCTTCAAATAGAGAGGGGAAAAAATTGAATAACACAAGACCTACCAAAAACCACAGTAGGAAACAGAATAATGCGTTCTAAAGAGCAAAGGAGCTCAAGATAAAACTCAAGGTGACCAACCCTGCAAATCTGAGCCTCCCTAGTTATGAAAAAAAGACGGATATTCAATTAAAAAGCACATTCTTTTTTTCATTGTTGTTGCTGTTGGCGAGGCAATGGGGTTAAGTGACTTGCCCAGGGTCACACAGCTAGTAAGTGCCAAATGTCTGAGGTCACATTTGAACTGAGATCCTCCTGACGCCAAGGCCGGAGCTCTATCCAATGCGCCACCTAGCTGCCCCCTCAAAGCATTCTTAAAAAGAAAAACAAATCTGAAGAAATGATTTGCTTCTCACTCACCAGACACACAAATACAAAAAGCAAACCAATACAGCATCCAAGGATGGCAGCAGCAAAAACAGAAGAACAAGCGAGAAACTGGCGAGATGCACATGAGGAGCAAGGCTGGCAGCCGAGGCCCGGTGGCAATGATGGCGGAGGAGCGAGGAGCGAGGCTGGCAGCCGAGGCCCGGTGGCAATGATGGCGGAGGAGCGAGGAGCGAGGCTGGCAGCCGGCCCGGTGGCAATGATGGCGGAGGAGCGAGGAGCGAGGCTGGCAGCCGAGGCCCGGTGGCAATGATGGCGGAGGAGCGAGGAGCGAGGCTGGCAGCCGAGGCCCGGTGGCAATGATGGCGGAGGAGCGAGGAGCGAGGCTGGCAGCCGAGGCCCGGTGGCAATGATGGCGGAGGAGCGAGCCTGAGACAGGGAGAGCTAAACCTCACAACGCCCTGCCTATGGACAAAGCTATGTGTTTTTCTGAGATTCAGTTACATAATGGTAGGGTACAACAAAGGGGAAAGGGGAGGAAAAACACAAATGGGAATAACTGCTGTTCCCTAATGAGTCCAAGGACGCAGTTCGGTGGCTCAGTGGACAGAACACTGGGCCTGGAATCAGGAAGACCTGAGTTCAAAACTGGCCTCTGTGACTGAATGATGAATCAATTTATTAATCGTGCTAGCAGTAATTAATAAAAGGAGTCAGTGGACCTCTCGAATGCCAAAGATCCCTTATGGAACCCACTCAATGCTTATATGCCTTTGAAAGAGTGGGTGTTCCTGAGAGCAGCAATCTGCGTTGATTAACAAGTAATGAGAGGCTGAATACTATAATGGAGGTGGGCTTATTCTAAGGAGGGTCTAGGGGACGTGACTCTGACCACTCAGTCTTGGTCAAAGAGATTTATCTATACCCATATCACCCCATTTAGGGCAATCTAGACAAAAGGGGGAGTCCGCTTTTACCTAGTGAAATACTATGGGCTGGAATATATCCATTCACCTAAAATAAACTTTCTTTACCTTTTGATCAGACCTGAGTTTTCCAGTTGGGTCATTTTCACCCAAGATTTCATCTCATTACGAGCCCTGCACTTCCAAAGCTGCCTGAATAACCTACAGGGGCTGATTTCTAAATGATGAAAAGGAAGGGAAAAACTGTAGTTCTAATTCAATAATTGGCTATTAATATAGGATAGAATAATCATTTCTTTCATCTCAGACATTTACTAGCTGTGTGACCTTGGGCAAGTCACTTAACCTCTGTTTGCCTTAATCCCCTGGAGAAGGAAATGGCAAACCACTCCATTATCCTTTCTAAGAAGACCCCATGGACAGTAGGATAATGGGGTCACAGAGAGTCAGACATGACCGAATGGCTAAACAATAACCAAGTCAAAGGCTAACAACAAAGGGCAGATAACTCCTGTAGTCTCTCTGGAGACGAGCCTACAAAGAATGGGCGAGGAGACAACAGAGGAGGGTTCGGAAAGGGGGGAGAAGGGCAGAAAGCTGGTTTCAGGGGTGGGAGGAGGTAACACTGACGAATGCTACCATGGGAAAAGAGAGATATTCTACAAAGGGAGATGGGGATCTTAACTATGGGTTTAATCTGAGGTGATCTGGTGCTTAGAAAGACAATTCACCCTGGCTCACAATAAGGGGAATCAGAGCAGCTGGGGACAACTGACTTAGAAGAGTAGGAAGGTATGGATCCAGGGAGGAGATTTCAAAGCAAATGGGGGAAAAAAAATTACCAAGAGAAGGGCAAAGGTCTATAACGAATTGCACAATCAAGGAGAAAATTCCTACAATGAGGCAATATCCTCTTTATCACTTGGAGGAAATTATATTCCTAAGAGTGGGGGACAATAGAAAACAAGGGGACGGAGGGGAGGCAGCAGATAATAACAATAACATAGAAACTGTTTAGAAGAAGGGGCCCAAAATAAACACCTTAGAAGCTTTACTTGTTTATGGGCTACTGTGAATCCTTTATGTTTTATGCATTAAATCTGTGACACAAAATAAAGGTATCTTATATACGAAATGCAAGTATCTTATATCTTACCTTCAGTTTTATGGGACCTGGGGTCCTTTACCTATATCTGTGGAGACCTAGACACAAACTAGATTCTAAAGTTCCCAGAGGAAATTCTGCATGGAGGCAAAATGTATCAGTTATGCTTACGGCACAGGTTACTTAGATTGAACCTAGATCATGTAAGCTCGGAACCTGGGACTCCGGACCATAGCTTATATTTGTTTATTAGCTTGCTTGAGAAAGCCAGAGTAGGAAAATCAAACTCCCATAGTTAGATGAATTCCCTTTAAACACTGGAAAGGAAGGATTATTTTCCTAAAAATAAACTGAAGTGCTAAATAAAAGTTCTTCAGAGCATAGGCTCAGATTCTTGTTAAAGATTGCTGGAAGAAATTCTGGGCATCGTGATAGATTGATTTTGCCCACTAGAAAGTAATTGGAGATCACTCAGTGGCTCCCAGAATGCCAACTGAGCTCCAAGATATCAAATACAAGGTTACCAATTCTATTTATCCTACTAATCACAATCTGTCATTTGACTAGACAAAAAGAAAACAAACCCACCCTACTTGTAAATTTACAGGTCTATCGTACAATGTGCAGCAAAAGAAATTTCCAGAAATGTTAGAAACTTTCCCACTTGTTTCTCCACTCCATAGATTTTTTTTTAAAATCACCTTATTGTTCTGACAGGTCTCTGGCCAAAGTCCAGAGGGGGCAGTTATGGTCTTAATGATAAACTTCATACCAAACTCTTGTTCATTTGCAGAAAAGGAGTCACTGGCCAGCTCTGCTGCTGCTAACATATTCATTAGTGTCCCTGGTGATTCCTGTTTCCACTGCTTCCTATTATCTGAAACGTCTTCAATTACAATAACCTGGCCATCTGGAAGAAGAAGTGTTAACAGGAAAACAAAATTAAAATAACTTTTTTTCTTGCTTCTTAACAGAATCACAAAATATTACAGCTGGAAAGGGTCCTTTCTCATTTTACAGAATAGGAAGCCAAGTACAGAGAAGTAAAGTGATCTGGTGAAAGACACACACACACACACACACACACACACACACACCCACATATACACACACCAAAAACCACAGTAGGAAACAGAATAATGTGTACTAAAGAACAAAGGAGCTCAAGATAAAACTCAAGGTGACCAACCCTGCAAATCTAAGCCTACCTATTAATGAGAAAAGGTAGATATTCAATTAAAAAGAGATACTCAAAGCATTCCTAAAAAGAAAACCAATTATTTGCTTCTCATCCATCAGATATAAGAAGAAAATAGAAATTGTAGATCTAGAGATGAAAGAAACTTCAGAGGCTGTTGGATTGAATCCCCTTACTTTGTAAATGAGAAAATGAATCACAGAGAAGTTAAGTGAATTAATAATAATCATAGCACATTAAGATGTGCAAAGTACTTTACAAATATTATCTCATTTGAACCTTGCAACAAGCCTGAGAGGTTAGATGCTATTATTATTCTCATTTTATAGATGAGGAAACTGAGGCAAACAGCAATTAAGTGATGTGCCCAGGGTTACACAGCTAGTAAGTGTCTGAAGCCAATTCGAACTCAGGTCTTCCTGACTCCAGGCCCAACTCTCTGTGTACTATGGTGCCACCTAGCTGCCCACAAGGCTAATAAGTGTCTGAGGCAGGATTTGAACCCAGGTTTTCTTGATTCCAAGTCTAGCTGTCTAACGAACATAACATCTTGATTTTTGAGATGCAGAAAATTACCAAAAGAAGCTAACTTTAAATTATTATTTTTTCTTTTTTATATAAATTTATTTATTTTTAGTTTTCAACATTTACTTCCACAAGATTTTGAATTCCATATTTTCACCCCATCTCCCCCCTCCCCCACCCCAAGATGGCATGCATTCTGAATACCCCTTCCCCTAGTCTGCCCTCCCATCTTTCCCCCCCGCTTCTCTTATCTCCTTCCCCTTCTATTTTCCTGTAGGGCAGGATAGACTTCTGTACCCCATTTCCTGTATTTCTTATTTCCCAGTTGCATGTGGAAACACACTTTTTTAAACATGTGTTTTTAAAACTTTGGGTTCCAAATTTTCTCCCTTCCTCCCCCCCCACCCTCATTGAAAAGGCAAGCAACTCAATATAAGTTGTATATGTGCAGTTATGCAAAACACTTCCTTCGTAGACATGTTGTGAAAAACTAACTCAATTTCCCTTAATCCTATCCTGCCCCCCATTTTTTCTTTTCTTTCTTTTTCAGAATTCTTCCTTCTGATTACCCCTTTCCCAGTCTGCCCTCCTCTCTATCACCCCCTGCTCTCTTGTCCCCTTCCTCCCCTATTTTCCTGTAGCGTAAGACAGATTTCCATACCCAATTGAGTGTGTATGTTATTCCCTCCTTAAGCCAAATCCTATGAGAATAAGATTCACTCATTCCCTCTCACCTTCCCCTGTTTCCCCTTCCACTGTAGAGACTTTTCTGGTTTTTTTGTGAGATAATTTACCCCATTCTACCTCTCCCTTTCTTCTTCTCGAGTATCATCCTCTCTCATCCCTTAATTTATTCTCCAGATATGACCCCTTAATCTTCAGCTCACCCTGTGCCCTCTATCTACATATACATACATATAATTTTTTTCCTCCAACTACCCTGATACTGACAAAGGTCTCATGAGTTATAAATATCATCTTTCCATGCAGGAATGTAAACAGTTCAATCTTAATAAGTCTCTTATGATTTCTCTTTCCTGTTTACCTCTTCATGTTCCACTTGAGTCTTGTATTTGAAAGTCAAATTTTCTATTCAGCTCTGGTCTTTTCATCAAGAATGCTTGAAAGTCCTCTATTTCACTGAATGACCATTTTTTCCCCTGAAGGATTATACTCAGTTTTGCTGGGTAGGTGATTCTTGGTTGTAATCCTATCTCCTTTGCCCTCCAGAATATTATATTCCATGCCCTGGTCCTTAATGTAGAAGCTGCTAAATCTGTTATCCTGATTGTGTTTCCACATACTTGAATTGTTTCTTTCTGGCTGCTTGCAGTATTTTCTCCTTGACCTGGGAACTCTGGAATTTGGCTACAATATTCCTAGGAGTTTTCCTTTGGGGATCTCTTTCAGGGGAGATCTGTGGATTCTTTCAATTTCTATTTTGCCCTCTGGTTCTAAAATATCAGGGCAGTTTTCCTTGATAATTTCTTGAAAGATGATGTCTAGGCTCTTTTTTGATCATGGCTTTCAGATAGTCCAATAATTTTTAAATTCTCTCTCCTGGATCTATTTTCCAGGCCTGTTGTTTTTCCAATGAGACATTTCACATTGTTTTCTAATTTTTCATTCTTTTGGATTTGTTCTACTGTGTCTGATTTCTCATAAAGTCACTATCTTCCAATTGCTCTATTCTAATTTTTAAGGAAGTATTTTCTTCAGTAAGCTTTTGGACTTCCTTTTCCATTTGGCCAATTTTCTTTTTAGGGCATTTTCTCCTCATTGGCTTTTTGGACCTCTTTTGCCATTTGGGTTAGGCTATTTTTTAAGGTGTTATTTTCTTCAGTATTTTTTTGGGTCTCCTTTAGCAAGCTGTTGACTTGTTTTTCATGATTTTCTTGCATCACTTTCATTTCTCTTCCCAGTTTTTCCTCTACTTCTCTTACTTGCTTCTCAAAATCCCTTTTGAGCTCTTCCAAGGCCTGGGACATTCATATTTTTCTTGGAGGCTTTGGATGTGCTTTGACTTTGTTGTCTTCTTCTGGTTGTATTTTGATCTTCTTTGTTACCAAAGTAAGATAATATAGTCTGACTCTTTTTGTGAGGTTAGCTCATGATCCCAGCCAACTACTTGAGTTTTAAACACTTTGTTAAGGTAAAAGTCTACTTCCAATGTGGAGAATGTACTGTCCCAAGCTTCGGGGGTTTGTATAGCTGTTTTCAGAGATACTTCTAGGGACCTGTAAATTTTCAGTTCTTCCAAGGTGGTATGATAAGGGTCGAGGTGTTTACTCTTTTCCTGGCCTGAGCTCTGGTCTTTGAGTGATTGGCCACAAGCAGTCTTTTCTCTCTTGGAACTGTGAGGAGGGTTTTCTCTGCACTGCCACTACCAGCTCCACTGCGCCAGTGCTCCTCCTCACCCCCAGGACCGCCACCCAGAACCGTGACCCAGATCCAAGCATGGGCAAAGCAAGAGATTCCTGCCTCAGCACTGGCAAAGAAATCACTGCAGTCCCCCTCTGATCAGCCACTTGATTCCCCCTCAGTCAGTGGGCCGGAAGTTCAGGACACAGCCACCGCCCCAGCGCCCACGCTGTGCGCTCTGGAACTGGATCTGACCCAGCTCTTCTCTCACCGCAAAAACAGACTTTTCCCACTGACCTTCTAAGTTGTCTTTGGTGTTTGTGGATTGAGGAGTCTGGAAACCGCCACAGCTGCCCATGATTCAGTCCTCTGAGGCCTGCTCTAGGTTTGCTGCGGCCTGCGTGCCCACGCTGAACTGCTCTCCTCTACCCTACCGGCGCGATATGCCTTTCCGATCAACCACCCAGGCTGTCTTGGGCTGGAATTTTGTTTTACTCTGTCTTTTTGTGGGTTCTGCTGCTTTAGAATTTGTTTAGATCCATTTTTATGGGTATTTGGAGGGGTTTGGGGGAGAGCTCAAGCAAATCACTGCTTTCATGCCGCCATCTTGGCTCTTAACTTTAAATTAAAACAGCTAATCTGTGTCTGAGGCCAGATTTGAACTCAGGTCTTCCCGACTCCAGGCCCAGTGTTGTATCCACTGAGCTACCTAGGTGCCTGCACTATTACTACTAGTAGTACAATATTTACTACAATATTGAGAGAGAGAGAGAGAGAGAGAAAGAAGAGAGAGAGAGAGAGAGAGAGAGAGAGAGAGAGAGAGAGAGAACTGAGGCTGAACTTTAGACTTGAGACTTCTTTCCTTGGACAATAAAGTTCACAGTGTGTATGTGTACACACACACACAGAAATGTATGTGTATCTATGTATATGTACACAGATACATATATCACACACACACACACACATACACACACACTCAATTGTGAAAACAGAATTTATGGCCTGAACAGCAGAAATAATTGGCAGAATACAAAAACATCCATGGTGGCAAGCCTCACCAAAGAAACGAAAGATAGAATCAATGGTTGGGAATGCAAATACAGGGAAGTGAAGGACAATTAAAGAAGAGATAGAAAAAAACAATAACATTAAACTAAAGTATGATCTTCCTACAAGGAAAACATATTGATCTCAAAGACAGGATGAGAAGAGAACTTAAATATGGTAGGTCTCTCAGAAGAACACTACAAGGCAAAAAACCAGAACACTATAATGCAGGGAAGAATAGAAGAAAACCCACAGAACTTCTGAACACAGAACAAGTGCCAGTTGAAAGAATCTACAGATTGCCTCCAAACAAACAAAAACAAATGCTATGCTGCAAACTCCAGGACATGTGGTAATTAAATCTAACAACAATGCCAAAAAAATAGCAAATTATGCAAATAATGAAGAGAAAGACCTTCAAATAGAAAAGGAAAAAATTGAATAACACAAGATCTACCGATTTTCTCTGGAAGATATAGAGGGACAGTATACTTTGGTTGGAAAGGTCACTAGAATAGGACCAGGGTCAGATAACCTAGGGCTTGTCCTTGCTCTGTTACTGACTGCCTGGGTAGCTTTGGGCAGGTTGAAGGAACTTCTCTGGACTGCAGTTTCTTTATGTGCAAAATGATCAGACTATACTGGATTATTGCTAATATGCCTTTCAACCCTAATTTTCTATGAAAAATTTAAGATGAGAGAGATGAATAATCTGTCTTGGATAATTTGAGTAACGATGATGATAATGATGGTGGTGATGATAATAGTTCACATTTATATAGCAATCCAAAGCACTTTCCTTACAACAAGCCTGGGAGATCATGCATGCAGTATTATCCTCATGTTACAGATGAAGGAACTCAGGTCCAGAAAATCAAATTACCTGTTCAGGGTCACACAGTTAATAAATGGTAGAGTGGGAACTATAAGCCAGGAGTCCTGATTCAGAATCTACTCTATATCACGCTGGATATAATCAGAGAGAGAGAGAGAGACAGACAGACAGAAAGACAGAGACAGACAGACAGAGACAGAGAGAGAAAGAGAGAGAGAGAAAGAGAGACAGAGAGAGAGAGACAGGGACAGAGGGAGAGCGAGAGGGAGGGAGGAGGGAGGAGAGGAAGACAGAAAGGGAGAGAGAGAGAGTAAACCAGATGATACCTAGAGTTCTGAACCTTTTTTATGCCATGGATCCCTTAGGCAGTCTGGTAAAACCTATAGACCCCCTCTCAGAATAATGTTTTTAAATGCACAAAATAGAATGCATAGGATTATGAAGGAAACCAAATATATTGAAACAGGGCTATCAAAATATGAAAATAATTCATGGACCTAAATCTAAGAGCCCCCATCCTATAGAACAGGTTATCTTCATGATTTCATGTCAAATTCCATAAGAATTCTTCTGAAAAGGAGGAGCTACCAAATGTGCCCTCATAACACAATTGGAGAGTAGTAGTCCAGCTTCCCTAGGCGAGATGGATGAGGAGCTGTCATCCATGTCACCATCCACATCAGCCACTGGTCTCACCTCCAGTAGTGGTAGAGCAGGTTGAGGTGACATCTGCTTCCTCTATCATACGTAACAGTGTCTGAGGAGCCTGAACACTCCAATGCCGCCTCTTTTCTCCAGTAAGAACGTCCTGCTTGTGAACAGCTGGAACAGGAAAATAATGAAATAATTCAGAGGTAGCCAGACTGTGGGTTTGCATATCTCATGAGAAGCATAAGAATTGGAAACACTTCCAAGAGCTGGATAAACCAAAAGTCAGTAGGTCCACTCTCATTTTACTCTACATCACAGGGATCGGTCCATAACAGCCAACTCAAATCCAACCTCATTTGCCAATATGGCTGAGGCAAGGGAGCCTCCATTGGAGGAAGCACTAGGATACCAGAATTCCATGAGACTGGTGGCTGGGATGTAGTGATTGCATCAAAAGCTACTGGCTAGGTAGAAGATTAGTTATACCAACAAGAGCTAACGTTTATACAGCACTTGAAAGTTTATGAAGTGCTTTGCAAATATTATCTCACGTGATCCTCACAAACGCCCTGGGAGGTGGGTGCTATTATTATCTCCATTTCACAAATGAGGAAATTGAGGCAGACAGGGATTAAGTGACTTGCCCAGAGTCACACAATTAGTATTTGAAGCTGGATTTGAACTCAACTTTTCCTGACGTCAGGTCCAGCAGGTTATCCAGTTGCCAGGTCTTACACTCTATCCACTATCTGCCTCTAAATCTCAGAAGATTTAGCTCATCAATGGTAGTTCCTAGTAAGAATGGGGGACCAGTCATCTGTAGAGACTGCAAAATTGAGGGAAGTGAGAGGCAGATCCAAACCACTGGTTCTGACTGTGAAGACAGCCTTCGGCTAGAGCAAGGAGAAGGAAGAAGACCTTTGGCCATATCTAGGAGACAGAGGAGTGGCAATAAAGATGACTTAGCCATGGCATTCTTGAACCCCAAGAATCCTAACAGAATCCTGATTATCCCAGAGTCAGAAACTTTATGAGGTTCCTGAAATTTGTCCATAAACCTCCATGCTGGCTACCATAATCAAAATGAGAGAAGATAGAGAAAATCATCTCTTTGCACATCTCATATATTTTCCATTTGTTCATGCATAAGAGGGGCAGTTTTCTCATTCTTATGGGAGTTTTCCCAGGAGTTGTTACTTTCTCACTGGTGCCTAGAGGCGACAGTGCAGTGGATAGAGCATTGGGCCTAGAACCAGGAAGACTCATCTCCTGAGTTCAAATCTGGCTTCAGACTCTTCTTAGCTGTATGACCCTAGGTAAGTCACTTAACCTTGTTTGCCTCAGTTCCTCATCTATAAAATATGCTGAAGAAGGCAATGGCAAATCACTCTAGTATCTTTGACAAGAAAAACCCAAAAAGGGTCACGAAGAGTCTGAAATGATTGAACAACATCCATTTTGTATATGAGGGGAAAGTGGTTCTTTCTGATTCTGTTGCCCATTTATTTTCCTGTATAAATTACTTGCCTTTCAGTCTTCATTAAATATGTTGCTATTTGATTTTTGGTTCAGCATCATGTGTGACTAGAAAGTATCAATAGAATGGGAACTTGAGCTATGTTTGCATAATTAGCTTAGGCCACAACACAACAATGAACTCAAGGTAGGTAGGGACCTCAGAGGCATTTATGGGGTTACACATAAATAAAAATAATACAGCACTTGGCATAGTGCCTGGCACATAGTAGGTACTTAATAGATGCTTATTGATTGATTAATAAGAAATTTTAAAAAACAGACGGGCTTTGTGGTTACACCTAAGTGGAAAGATCTCATCTGTATGAATCAACAGAATTAAGTGCTCAATATGGTTTTGGTTCTAAAGGCATTTGGTTTTTTTGGTAAGGCAATCAGGGTTAAGTGACTTGCAGAGGGTCACACAGCCTGAGGCCAGATTTGAACTCTGGTGCTCCTGACTCCAAAGCTGGAGCTTTATCCACTATGCCACCTAGCTGCCCCTTCTAAAGGCATTTTCCCAAAACTACACAGGTCATTGGGTACATTCCATTATTAATAAAGGAGCCCTCCAAGGCAGAAGAAACTTTTGGAATATAAATGAGAGGTGTGAAAAGTTAGATTTGAATGGAAAGTAAAAATATGAACTGAAATATTCTAAGAAAAAAGAAACAAGCTTATCATTTGATAAGCTATCTCTGGAAGAAAGTATAGAACCTAAGTTGTTGTGGTTGAATCATTTCAATCATGTCCAATTCTTCATGACCCCATTTGGAATATTCTTGGCAAAGATACTGGAATGGTTTGCCATTTCCTTCTCCAGTTCATTTTACAGATGAGGAAACTAAGGAAAACAGGGTTAAGTGATTTGCTCAGGGTCACCCAGTTAGTAAGTACCTAAGGCCAGATTTTAACTCAGGTCCTCTTGACTCAAAGGCCAGAACTCTATTTACTGTGCCACCAAGCTGCCATTATAAAGGTAAAAGAATTATAACCACCAACTAACATGAAAATAGGTTTAATAGAATGTATCTGTGGAGTGTATATCAAATTACACACCATCTTGGAGTGGGGCGGGAGAAAGATGGGGAGAAAATTTGAAACTCAAAATCTTATGCAAGTCAATGTTGAAAACTAAAAATAAATTTATTTTAAAAAAAGAATCATAACCACCTAGGGTAGTGTTTCCCACAGTGTGTTCCAAGGAAGCCCAGTGTTTAGCATGGTATGAATATGGGGTTCTATGGAAAAAAATTTCAGTTTTATCAACAGTTTTCATCTAAAATATTCAATATCAAACTTATCTGTGTCAAAAATACTTATTACATATGGTAATTTAAGATTTAAAAACTGGCTTACATTCTTCTATTTTGTTTCAATATTTTCCCCAACCCTTTCCTTTATCTCTGGTGTGTCCCGCACTCCCAGGTCCCTTGGACCATCATTTATGGATCCTATATTTCAAGTATTCTGTGATTAAATTAATTTGGGAAAAACTGTGCTGGGGAAAGGAAAATTTAAGTGTAAAAGTTGAAATGTGGCATTTAAAGATTACAAGATAGAGAAATAATATAGCAATCACTGTCATAGGTATATTTCCTAGTTCTCTCCCTCCTCCAGCCAGCATATCAAAGTTAATTATTTTTTTGAATTCCATCTAAATCTCAAACTCCTATACCCTTTTAAAAAATGATATTGACAGTTACTATATAGAATCATTGGCTCTCAGAAGTAGAACTGACCCCCAGAGGTCATCTAGTTCAACTCCTACTCAAATTACAAATCCTCTTTTTTGTAGACTTCAAGTGATAGGGTAGCTCACTATTTTTTGAGATAAACCATTCCATTGTTGGATAGCTCCGACTGTTTTTATTATATGTTTTTTAATTAATACTTTAATTATAAGTTTTTATTATATGTCAGTCAACAAGCATTTATTAAATGCTTATATGTATCCTAAGTTTGCTTCCCTCTAATTTCCAGCCATTGCTTCTGACCTGTCCTCTGGGGCTAAGTAGCACAAGCCTAATTCTTCTCTGACCACAATGCTTCAGATTTTTAAGAACTACCATTTGGGGAATACTCATCCTTTTATACTTCCTATAAAATTAATGTTAGTGATTTTTAACTAAATCCTTCCAGGGCTTGCTCTAGCATGTATGTGTGTGGAAGTGGACTAGTGAGAGAAGGATAAGCCAGGGAGGGAAGCTTCCAGAAAGTGGCACAAGGTTGGAACACTGGGCTCTCAACACTTGCATGCAGGGCAATGAGCGATAATAAATTACAGGCCAGGAGATTATAGCCATTAGAGTGAGAATAGGTTAGGAAAGTTTTTTTACATGTGGCTAGTAGTGACCTATGCCTCCTGAGAAGCTTTGGCTTCAACTAGGTCCCAGAAGGAGCTCTTCCATGATATGATACACCAGGAAATAAAGGAAGAAAGAAAGAGAGAGAGAGAGAGAGAGAGGAGAGAGAGAGAGAGAGAGAAGAGGAGAGCAGAGGAGAGCAGAGGAGAGAGAGAGAAAGAAAGAAGAAACAAAAGAAGGAAAGAAGGAAGGAAGAGAAAAGGAGAAAGAAAGAAAGAAAAAGAAAGAAAGAAAGAAAGAAAGAAAAGAAAGAAAGAAGAGAAAGAAAGAA